AAATCATTGAGGGTGTTAGTTCCAACAACATGATGCTATTATATTAGTACCAAAATTATTCTTGTGCATAGTGTGGTCCATAGTGCTGGGGAGATTTTTGGAGGGTTAGCTAAATAATTATTAATGGAAGGTGAATCAAAGACTATAATTCATAAATTTTTTTTTTATCAATTTTTCAATTACGTATCTCATCGGTTTTTATCAAAATTTTCTAAAAATTTGATTTCTCGTCAAATCAAATAGGAAATTTTAGTTTTGTTATACTTGAGGAACATTATTTAGTACGTAGTATTAGATACCGTGACAAGAAACATTTTCAAGATTTGCACTTTTTCTTTGTTCGTTAATATTATTCAACACATCCCACCAAACTTTCGATAATATCTTATTATTCATTTCACTTTTACTAATTATTCTATGATATTTGATAATGCCTAGTATCATCAAGAGAGATGTTACCACCAACTCTCTCAACCTGTCTTACCAACTCGCATCTAGAAGCTCTCTCTCTCTCTCTTACTTATATGCAAAAGCTTATGTGAAGGGGCCGGCCCTCATGCTTAAGAATTCTTCATAAAGGCTAGATTTTCGTTTATCCACAGTCTAATACTGACACCACAACCCATCTCAAAAAACCAAAAAGGGAAAGAATAAGCAAAAATTATTTATTACACCTAGCTAGCTCTGTTGAGGAAGAAGTTTTTCACTTATTTCTAGTCAATGGGAAGGTCTCCTTGCTGTGAGAAAGCTCATACAAACAAAGGAGCATGGACTAAGGAAGAAGACGATCGTCTTATTGCATATATTCGGGCTCACGGTGAAGGCTGCTGGCGGTCACTGCCCAAGGCTGCCGGCCTTCTTCGTTGTGGCAAAAGTTGTCGTCTTCGGTGGATAAATTACTTGAGGCCTGACCTCAAACGTGGAAACTTCTCCGAGGAAGAAGATGAACTTATTATCAAATTCCATAGCCTTCTTGGTAACAAGTAAGTCCATTAATATCCTTATATATTGAACTTTTTCGAGTCAAATCATTCTGTTCCCTTGTCCCCTCGGCAAGGGATCTACCTGATATTTTAAATGCGTCCACTCGCTATTGTAAGTTTTCTCTAAAAAGAAGACAGAGATTACAACATTGATTTCGCACTTCTCTGTCAGTGTCTTTCGATGAATGATTTCTTGTGAGAATTTATTAATCAAGATCATTTTCAAATGGGATTGTACCCAGATGGTCCCTTATAGCAGGTAGATTACCAGGGAGAACAGACAATGAGATAAAGAATTATTGGAATACTCATATAAGAAGGAAACTTTTGAGCAGAGGTATTGATCCAACAACTCACAGGCCAATCAATGAACCAGCACAAGAAACTACAACAATTTCTTTTGTTGCTGCAAACACTGTTAAAGAAGAAGAAGAAGAAGAAGCAGAACACAAAATCACTGCTGGGATTTCCAACAAAGAAGAAATTATCCCGGATTTGAATCTTGAGCTTAGAATCAGCCCTCCTTGTCAACAACCACAGACTGAGCCATTGAAGACAGGTGGAAGAATTTGCACCGTATGTTTTGCCTGCCGTGAAAATCAGTGCAGTTGTGTTATTAATGGTAGCAGCAGCAGTAATGGTGGATATGACTTATTAAGGTTAAAGGCTGGTGTTTCTGACTATAGAAGCTTGGAGATGAAATGAATTTGATTTGGATTCAGTTATGTAATATTGAAAAAAAAAAA